CCGCCCTTCAGGAAGGAGGAAGCCTGCTCTAGTGACCTACTTGTCTAGCTGCAACACACTGCTGCCCAGCAGAGACCCAGCCCAAGGCTGGCTGCTCCTTGCTCTGGGCTGGCCGGCTGGCTCCCGGGTGCTGGTCCACAGGACAGCGTGCACTGTGTGTGTGTGTGGGGGCGGGGGGGGGGGCGGGAAACAGAGATCCCTGCAACTCCCTCCTTCGGACAGGCCCCTGGCTGGGTGGACGCTTTAGAGACCAAGCTGCTCCTAAAGGTGGGGAGAACCCACCCCACTTGGGGCAGTGCCAATGACTGTGCCACCCTCATGAGACAGGCAGCAACTGGGGTCGGAAGGGGCATGCGGTCTCTACCGCACCTCGCTTCACGGGCGTTACGGCTCGTTCCCACACCCCCAGGAGCTCCCAGGTCTGAGCCCCTCCCTCCAGCCCCATGGACATCTGCCGGCACTGGTCTCTTGCCTCAGCGCACGTCCCGGCTGGAGCTGTGATTTCCAGCTCGGGTGGACATACCCCCACTCGTGCGGACTGAGCCAGCGTGCTGCGAACGGCAGGGTAGCCTCAGCAGGATGGGCACACTGCCCGCCCGAAGCACAATCCCTTGCTGCCTGGCGTGTGCTCGGCTGTTCTTAGCATGCTAGTTCTCGCCAGAGCTAGTGTAGGTGTATCTCCCTGAGCTGGAAGACTGCCCTCCAGTACCCATCGTCATGGGCAAAGGGCTGGGAGCCCAGAGCTTGTGGGGTCCAATCCTGCCTCCGACACAGATTTGTTCCACAGCCTTGGGCAAGTCACTTAGTGCCTGCCTCCATCTCCCCAGCTGTCAGAGAGGCACACTGACCCTGCTGGCAGTTCCTCAGCCTGCGGTTGTGAGGCACTGGCCAACCGAGAGGACGCAGGGGTCTCTCTGCCACACACGGCCTAGCCCATGTCACGTCCCATTCACATTAAAGCCAGGACTGTAAATCAGGATTAGCCGAAAGCGCTGGTTTCCTTTTGTTCCGTCCTCCCAGATCAAAAAATATAAATACCTCTTGGGCAAGGAGCACGGCTGTAATGTGACCCTCTGACACTGGTGCTGCTGCCGGCCCCACGCGGCCTCGCGCTGGCGCTCCCCGCGAGCGTGGCTGGGTCTGCGCACGGCCGCGCGCTCGCTGCAGCGGCAGGGAGGAAGCTGCCAGGAGCCCAGCGCTTGCTGTTTGGTCTGCGAGAGGCAGCTGACATTTTGGAAGGAAATAGCTGCTGTTCGCTCCTTCCTGTGGCAGGGCAGCCTGTGGAGCAGCAGCGCCGGGCTGTCCCTGCGGGCGCGAACCCTTTGCCAAGAGGCAGGATCCCCCTCGGTGCCCAGGGCCGGGGTGCCCAGGTGGCTGGCAAGGCGCTGCCAGGGCGGTGCATGGGGCAGGGCAGAGCGAGGAGAACACCTGTTCCTGCCGTGAGTATCCCCTGCCCTCGGGGAAGGGACCAGCAGCTTCTGCCCCGGCGCCGAGAGAGAGATTTGTCGCCAGGGCCAGCGCTCCGTGCTGGAAGCAGTGAGTTTGCTGCCGGCCCATTGGCGAGATGCCAGCATGGGAAGGTTCTGGGTCTGTATGGCACTCCGCTCTGCACAGAACCTTTCCTGCCCCCCCCCCCCCCATGCTCGCAGCCCCCACTGCTTAGCAGGAGCTCGGGAGTCGCCAGATGTGGCGTGAGGCTCAGAGCTGCCTCGTTGGGGTGTGCGGGGAAGTGCCGTGCCCTGGGGCCCCAGAACAGCTCGGGCTGAGATAGGGTTCGGCTGGGGTCCAAGGGGTCATAGCCCTCCCTGTTCACAACGTTATGAAATATTTGTTTCCCTCGTAGGTACTTACACCCTTGAACCGTCTCTGTGTTAAGCTAAATAGACTGTGCTCCCTGAGTCTGTCACTGTAAGGCAAGTTTCTAAACCTTTCAGCATTCTCGGGCCTCTTCTCTGACCTTTCTCCAATTTACCAACATCCTGCTGGCACCAGAACTGAGCACAGGATTCCAGCCAAATAACCTCTCTGCTCCTGCTCAAGAGTCCCTGTTTCTGCAGCCCGGGATCACATCAGCTCTTTTGGCCTCAGCGTCAGGCTGGGCGCTCATGTTCCGCTGATTATCCCCCACAGCCCCCACATTTTTTTCGGAGTCCCTGCTTCCCAGGGGAGAGTCTCCCTCCTGGAAGTACGGCCTACCTGTAAATGGGGTGTGGGAGATTGGGGCCAGGAGAGATAGGGCCTGAGGGTTGGGAACTGGGAACCAGGGAGGGAAATAATGGGGTGACTGGTTCAGCAAGGATTCTGGACTGAAAACTAGTGAGGCGGGAGGAAGGAGGCAAGGGATACCGATCTAAGGAACCTGGGCATGCGGGGAGAACTGGGACTGGCTGGGCAAAGAGGCTGGAAAGGCACCGATATTGGACAAGGAGATCAGGGAGGGAGCCTGGGACTGGGAACCAGTGGGCTTTGGGATCATGGGGGGAGGCAGGAAGAGGCTGGGGTGGAAGGAGAGGCAGACTGGACTCAGAGCTGGCAGGGAGTGGGAGGGAGACGGGGTCTGATGGAGGAGGGCACTGGAAGTGAGTGGAGACGTGGAGAGGAACTCCAGATGGGCGGCTAGGACTGTCTGGGTAAGGAGAAACTGTGGAGACAGGGACTGGTTGGGTGAGGAGAATGGGACTGAGAGCCAGGACTGGGACAGGTTGGAGGGGACAGGACAGAAGAGGCCAAGCGTAGGGGGAATGGGCAGAACACCCCCCCATCCAGAGCCTGGAACCCATGGCTTCTAAGGCTCAGCGTTCCTCTGCTGTCGGGAATGAGGTGAAACCACCGGCTAAGGGGCTCATCCTCCTCTAGCTTTGGTCCAGGTACAGAATGACAACCTACTACTGCTGTTGGTTAACGCTTAGCTCAAGTGGCCGAGGTCTGTGTGGTGGATGTGAAGGTCCAACCCTGCTGATGACTCCTGGGGATCGATGTGAAGTCACGTGATGGAGTTCATGTTTGGTGGATTCTTCCCCAATTCATTTGGTTTCCTAAAAACCTAGGAAATTGCACAGAGAAAAGTGTTTTAAACGAATGTTAATAAGGGTGCGAAGTCCAACACTCAACAGTTAGGAAGTGCCAAAGGAAGGTTGCCCAGGCATTAATTGTGGCATTTCCTAACTTTTCAGTGCTTGATTTGAACCCTGAGTCATGTTCTGTAATTTTGTTTGTGCTTGTGGTATTTATACCAGCACCCTAGGCTGGCGCTGCTCGCCCTGGCCCATAGCGCCTCATTGCACCACCTGTAAAAACTCCCTGATGGACGAGTTGTTTTTCCAAGACCTGTCAAGCTTGACGAGGGAAGCTCTTGCTTTTTATAGGCGCTGGCTCTCTGTCCGGCTGTTCTATATTTGCCTCCAGGGATTGCATGTGTTGCCGTGTGTGCTCTTGCTACGAGCCAGTTTAAATGCCTAAACCCCCAGAATAAAGTGCAAGGCAGGAGCGTGGCTGCGTGGCGTGGGCTGGGCCCGGAATAGAAGCTGGCACCTCTCCCCTAGTGTTTGGAGAGTCTGACTGGCCTGAAATAGCTCCAAGAATCTGATTTCAGAACCGACCGCGACCTCGCCCGTTTGTTTTCTCCAGAGTGTTTGTGTACAGTTGAGAGCGGGCGTGCGCTGAGCGTGCTCCCAAACCCAGGGCCCCCGGGCTGCGTGCTGCAAGGACCTCACGGGAGGCACATAAGACCCCATCCCTGGGCCGGCAGCTGCGCTGTGGCAGATGGGCTGTCCTGGATGAAGGGCCCTGAATGCTTGGTCATTTCACGGTCCCATGGCAGGTTAACAGGGCAGCGACAGTTCTGTAGCAGAGCTGGGTCTCTCTGCCCCGAGGGCTGTGCTGGGTGAACCCCCGAGAACCTGTGCCATGTGCATGTGGGTGATTCCCAAATGGGTGCTGGCCCGTTCTGTCAAACCCTTGGCCAGCTCCTCCCATCAGCTGCTCAGGGAAGGCGGCCAGGGAAGGTGGTGTGGGGCTGAGGGGCTGGGGAAGGTGGCTGGGCGTTGGGGGGCGGGGGGAAGGTGGGTGAGGGGCCGGGGAAGGTGGCTGGGTGCTGGGGGG